TTAGTGATCTGGATCACTGACTCTTTCTTAACAATTTTCAATCTGGGATTTTCACTATTTTGCTTGAGGAAAAATGCCAGCAACTGACTAATTCTACTTTTGATTTTTCTTAATTACATACATTTATCAAGATATGAAGCAATATTAAGTATAATATAGTATTAACATAAACCATGGTCAATCAATACATTTTTACAAAGAAATTGTATCTAAAATAAAAGGTAAAATCAGTGATAACATTTTTTCATATAGAAAATTTATGAAAGTAAAGTTGAATAAAAATATATTAACCTTATCTCCACAAAAGAGTTGAGTTTGATCCAAGAAGGATATAAATGATTTACTGTTTTGTTTACTTTTCTTAACCCCCTTTTCACTTTGAACATAAAATAGGCTTTGGGCACGAAAAAAACTTTATTATAGAACTTGGTTATTTTAATGCAAAATAAATAATTTCATACAGCATGAAAAATTAAAGTTGTGGGTTAATAGTTTTTCAGGAGTGTCATAAAATGGATGCAGATCTCTATAAAAGAAAGAACATACTGAATTTTAATGCACATGAAAATTCTTATGAATTCTATTAAATAGTCTCAGTAATTATGTTTCTTGGCTTTAGAAGGAAAGTATGGACTTTCTTCTAATATTGAAGATGTGGCTCCATTGTTCTGAACTATGATAGGTCTTTGGAGACCTGTATACAGATACCTGTTTATTATATGTATGGTACATGTTTGTTGTTGGTAAGAATTGCTGAACAGTAACTGTTCTAAAACTAAATTGTTTTTGAGTAGTTTTATCATGCATTTTATAAAAATTTAGGGACTTGTGTTCAGTAAAATTTCTTATAACAGGTAAATTTGACCTAGTTTGGGGGAACTATCTATCACTTGTTGAATCTTAGTGGTTTACTAGGAAGCTATGACCTCTATAAGAAATAACTCGAGGGCCCTCCCTGGTGGCGCAGCAGGTTAAAGCACAACACTGAGAATCTAAAGCCACTTCCGCATAAGTTCGATTCCCGCCTGCCCCGGAGGTGACCACATGGTGTGGCAGACCTCTCCTGACCCGCCCGCTGCTCCCCTCAGCAGTGTACTTGGTCGATCTGCCTGTTCTGTTCCCCACTCTGTCTCTGGTGAAGCCTCTCACCGCCCCTGAGCCTCTGGCCTGTACCCCAGTTCTGTATGCACAAATAAACAAATCTTAAAAAAAAAAGAAAAAAAGAAATAACTCGATAAGGCATAACATACTTAGATATTTCTAAGACTACAGTAGGTACCTAGTGCCTGCAGAATTTTTTAGTCAAAATCACTTCGGTTATGTTCTATAGTTAGAAATTTAGAGCTTTCTAATGCAAGTCACAGTACAAATTTTTCCTTGTTAAAAATTAAAAAGGAAGTTGAAGCATGGAGTTAAGGTTGTTCATACATTCATAAGGCTGATTGGAGACTGGGCAAGAAAAGAGTGAGCTGAGTCCACCAGCCAGTCACCGGAGGGTCTTGCTTCTGATACCACTGGACGGTGGATGACGTTGCTTGGCACTAGCCACTCTCCCCTTGTCCAGGGTTCCATGTGTCTCACCACATAACCGCTGAGGCTGACTGGCAAGTTCTGCTTTAGTTCACTCCTGTGCATCACTGGCCCCAGATTTAAAAATATAGAGTATTAGTGAACATAGAACCCCACATCTATAAGGCATAAATGCAAGACATTGTATATCTTGTGGTCACATGGTATCTTGCATTTAAAAAGCCTTATAGATGCGGGGTTCTATCTTCACTAACACTCAGAATGAAGAATTCTTTACATTCAGAAAAGTGGTACAGAACCTTGGCAGACAAAAATTTGTTAAGTGCAGGATTAGTAACAAGGTTGTTGATAGGCTGAAATGGACTTACTAAAGCTACTTCCTAAAGAAATTTTGTGGTGTTCCTGTGGCTTATTCCAAGTGACAGTTCAGAACTTAAGTATTCAACTTAGCAGAAATGAATAGTTACACTCTTGGTTTTGTTGTGATTTTGTATTTGATATTCTTTAATTTTTTAATTCCTGATTAATGAACTAGACTTGCAAATGTTATGTTAGTCTCACAGAATTTCTTCCTTGATACAGTAAATACAAACATTCCATGCTGTGTTTATTTGCAATAGGAACAGGCATTTTCTATATTTTAGTGACATATGGTGCTAAGACTTTAGCATACTTTCTTATAAAGAGCCAAGAAACTTTCTGGGCTTAAAAATGTATGTTTATAAACAATAGACTTACAATGACTATTCCCATCTGTTAGATGAACATAATTTGTGTAGAAATTCCTGTAATAGGTGGAATACTGTGCAACTTTTTGGTTTATTTTTTCCCCTGGTGAGGCATTAGACTAAAGAGATGGTACAAAACAGCATATGCCTAATATTCAATTTGGTATCTGTTTCTCTTTTTTTGTGCATGAGTACATAGAATTGCACTAGAGGGCCCTCCCTGGTAGCGCAGTGGGTTAAAGCACAACACTGAGAAGCTAAAGCCAATTCCGCATGAGTTCGATACCCGTCTACCCTGGAGGTGACCACATGGCGAGGCAGACCTCTCCTGGCCCGCCCGCTGCTCCCCTCAGCAGTGTACTTCGTAGATCTGCCTGTTCTGCTCCCCACTCTGTCTCTGGTGAAGCCTCTCGCCGCCCCTGAGCCTCTGGCCTGTACCCCAGTTCTGTATGCATAAATAAATAAATCTTAAAAAAAAAAAAAGAATTGCACTAGAAATTCCTAAGAATTTAAAATCTATTTAGGATATTGCAAAAAAGGAAAAATAGAATGAGTAACAATTATGTAAATATAGCTATGTTGCAATGACAAAACTATTATGTAATTTTAAACTCCAGTAACTTGTGTTAATTGTTTCCCAAAAAATTTTGTTGACTTTGTTTTAACCTAGTCTCAAAAAAACTCCGTATTGTAATCACAGTATGTAGTAATCAAAGCCATTCACCCTTATAGTCTTGATTTGACTTCGATAAATGGTATTGACTCTTTGTGTTCAGTTTGTTATTAATCTGATGATATTCACTAATTAATTTTTTGTTTGAGGTGAACCATTCCTAAGAACAGAATGAAGTTTTGAAGATTAAAACTTAGCTACTTTTTTTCATAAAATATTTTATTAATCTTGTCATAGCTTCTCAAGACATTTATCAGGGGAAAACATACTTTGATTAATATTTGCTTAATACTGAATTATCTGTATTTCCCACATGTTTATTCACTTAAAAATATACCTAATAATTCCTTGCTAAAGTTTTCTAATTGCACACACTTGAATGAAAAGATTAACAATTAGTTGTCTATGAGTGACTTCATAGTAAGTGTAGGAACTGAGCAAATAAAGTATAGCATATTTTGTGTTTTTACCTGAATTTGCAGATAACTGTAACTGCAGCTTTTTCTTTCTTACAAAGGATCCGTGAATTTTCTTTTTCAGAACATAAGATATCATTGGTTGGATTTACCCTTTTTTTCTTTCTTACGATGACATCTCCCACATGTGAACCATATCTAGACATCAAGCCTCTTCTCTTAGCTTGTTGTAATGGTCTCTTAGGTAACATGAAAGTACAGTTTCCAGAACTGTAAAACTTCAAGTGACTCTTGATTATTCTCTTTGCTTGTGGATTTCAACCATTTGAAGTTAACAGAAAACCTGAAGTAGCATTTTTATGTAAAAAGTGTCTTCTACTTTTTTCTTACAAAATTTTACCGAAGTTCTAAGAAAGGCACTGATTTGGAGGATGATTACTTCTAGTCATGGTAATGAAAAATACAAATGAAATAACCTTTCAATCACCCAGAAAGTTTTAAAAGTCAATGATAGGGCGTTTATGGAGAAGTGGAAGCAGGATATATGTTTTGTTCAGAGATGTCTGCAACTGTGAGTGGAGAGAACTGTGTAACGATGCACTTTCTTTGCCTTAATAATGACATCTGAATCTTATCTTGAAGGCGTTCTTGAACTTTTTTTTTTTTTAAAGATTTTATTTATTTGTGTGTACAGAACTGGGGTACAGGCCAGAGGCTCAGGGGCGGTGAGAGGCTTCACCAGAGACAGAGTGGGGAACAGAACAGGCAGATCTACGAAGTACACTGCTGAGGGGAGCAGCGGGCGGGTCAGGAGAGGTCTGCCACACCACGTGGTCACCTCCGGGGCAGGCGGGAATCGAACTCATTCGGAAGCGGCTTTAGATTCTCAGTGCTGTGCTTTAACCCGCTGCGCCACCAGGGAGGGCCGTGTTCTTGAACTTTTATATGGAGTAATGTAGCCCATATGTTAAGACTGTTGTTAGTTCTAGAAACCACATTTAAAAATTCTGAAAGAATTATTAAAACGGCCCTCCGTGGTGGCGCAGCGGGTTAAAGCACAGCACTGAGAATCTAAAGCCGCTTCCGCATGAGTTCGATCCCCGCCTGCCCAGGAGGTGACCACATGGCGCAGCAGACCTCTCCTGACCCGCCCGCTGCTCCCCTCAGCAGTGTACTTCGTCGATCTGCCTGTTCTGTTCCCCACTCTGTCTCTGGTGAAGCCTCTCGCCGCCTCTGAGCCTCTGGCCTGTACCCCAGTTCTGTATGCACAAATAAACCTTAAAAAAAACGAATTGTAAAAACTTCTTACTGAAAAATCTGATGTATATGTTATCAGTTTTAGCTATTTGACATCTTTTATTTACTCATCCTGTCATGAGTGATAACTACTATATGTGTTTCATTGTTCTGAGACCAGAAGTGCAATGATGAATAAGACAGATCTGGATCCTAACTTCATGTAATACTTACAGCCTGGTTGAGGAGACAGAGATTTATTAAATCTTATAATAAAGTTGCAGTCAATGTTTTGGTCAGGGAGGGTTTTATAGATAATAGTTGACCAAGAATAAAATATTTGTTGAACAATTAGCTAAGATGTCAGGACTATTCTCAAAATGAAACCATTGATAACTTCTTTTTGGTGTTTTTCAGATATATTATTCCATCTTTGCATAGACATGATGCTGGTTTTTACCGCTGTGTGGTACGAAATAGAATGGGAGCTCTCTTGCAAAGAAGATCAGAAGTTCAAGTTGCATGTACGTGCACATGGAAAGATCTCCAGATATCAAATAACAAAGTGCCTGTGAGGTTGTTAACCAAAATCAGTTTTAACATTGTAGGAAATGTTGGATTCTACTTAGAATAGAATAATTGCTAAAATTGGTTGAGAGATAAGGCCCAGTGTGATTATTCTGAGGATGATGGTAAGGGAGGAGTAAAATGTGCTAAATAAATGTCTTTTTTTTTTTTTTTCAGTTCAACAGATTAACAGATTAAGGCCCATTTAAGACACTATAGCTGACTGAAAAAAAAATGAAGAATGAGACACACTCTGTTTCGTGAATCAATTAGTTGCTCCTAGTTTTTATTACACTCAAAAATGTTTAAAAATTAAAAAAAATACCTAATTAGATAAAATTTCATCAATTTATAGTCAGTTCTATCCAATGCTGATTTGTTTAGAAATCCTTTAGCTGCAGTATAAAAAGCACATGGGTAATAAATAAATGTTCCAGATAGTATTAATTATTATTCTAATAAAGTAGACAGACCATTTTAGATGGAGCCTTCTCTTCACAGATTTTGTATTAAAAAGGGCCAACTTTATATGGGCCAATCTCCCTTTCCTGTTCCTCCCGCACACTACACTAAAATTTAAGCTCCCTGCATTTGTGTATCCTTCAGTTGTAAAAGTTTCATTCTCCAAAATGTGTCTGCCCTATAGGGAATTAATTAAGATGGTTTGTCTGCTTGAATTTACTACCAAAATATCTCTTCACTTAAAAGAAAGCAAAACATATTATGAAAATTTTAATCAAAACTTACTATATCCCAGTAGGTTTTAGAGAACACTTATAAACTACTAAATTGATCTGTGTTCATCAGTGATGTATTTTCTCATTTGTTATTTTTACTCCTTTTAAGGTATCTAGTTTGCAGTGTTGCTCTATGAAATAAGATAGTTTTAGTTCTGTTCTACTATTATTACTCATGACTGAATTAAGTGCTGATATTATACATTTGTTTTTAATTACTAAGAGGGCTTAAATTTTTCTGAATTGTGGTGATTAAATCATTCCACTAAGTCTGTCTGCAGATAATTTAGAACTTGATTCTATTGAATAATTGAAAAGATAATATATTAAAAGTTCAGATCAATACCCAAAACATATTTGAATAAGTTAACAGTTTGGAATTTATTATAACATATTAAATTCTGTGTTAGAAATTTAAATTGTGTACTTTTTCTTGCTTAATTATTTAAATTCTTATTTCTGTCTTTTATCTCTGGCTTTTAGATATTTTTTTAATCTTTTTTCCTTTGATAAAAAGTTTCACTTGACTTCAAAATAACCACCAGTATTTGAATATTAAATACTGCTTGTAACAGAAATAATTTCTTTGAATAAAAAGATCCTTTCATAATAGACAATTTCTGTGGACTATTCCAAACATTCCAGACAAACCATTTAGGCCATATTTACTTGCATACATATAGACAGATCTGTATATAAGCATAATATGGGCATTTTCAAAGTTTCAAATTTGTTACTAGTTTTATAAGTAACTTACATCCACATTCTAGTAACTGTGACTTACCGTGAGACTCCATTTTTTAAAAGTTGGCAACCAGTCTGAAGCAAAACTTACCTGCCCAAATTAAGTCAATAGTATGGGCTTTAGAAAACCCTGTAAAATATAAATCATGGTGAGAATATTTCCTCTAAAATACCTGTTAGGGAAATAGTCACCCAGAAATGAAGAAACAGAAGACTAGACTAAGCAGAAAAGTGTCAGTAGCTTGAAAGATTTGTGAACTTGAGATTCAACTCTAGGTTCCTAAAAATAATTTTTTCTTTGAACACTGTCTGATGCTTTTCAACATTTTATTTCAATACTAAGATCAGTTGCAAACATTTTATTATATTGTTGCAGGAACACAAAGACCATGAAGTTCTGCTGATCAATGCATTTTGAGGATACTTGGGAGGCTCATGGCTTTGCCTCACGGTTCGCTTCTCCACTAAATCTGCACTCATCAGCATTGCTGCTGGGTCTTTTTTGTCTTGTTGCTTAATTAAAGCAATTTGGGTGACTTTCCTATAAAATATCATTATTTGCACCTTTGACCACCCTCTTCAAGAAGGTGGTTTCTGGAATTTAGAAGTCCGATTTTTCTCCACAGATATGGGAAATTTCATAGCTACAGACCAGAGAAAAACAGTTTCTCAAGGACATGCAGCTGTTCTCAACCTGCTGCCCATCACCAGCTGCCCCAGACCTCAAGTGACTTGGTTCAGAGAAGGGCACAAGATTATCCCAAGCAACAGAATGTAAGTTGTTGCAAGCTTTAAAATATTTGTTAAACATGTCAGCACCATTTACGTATTAATTGTGCCAATTAAGCGTTGAAAAGATCAACCTAGTCTAGATGTTACCTAAATCTTTAATAAATAATTATTTTCAAACTGTCTTGTAAAATTTTAAGCAGTTTGAAATTTATAATATTATTTAGCATGCCACATACCCTTAATAAAGCACCCTTTTTATTGGTTTATTTTTTCTGTTCTGAACGCACATTTTGCAATATCGTTGTCATCCCTGAGTTGTGTTTGGCTTCAAGTACTAAATTAATGAGTGCTGGTTTTCAGTTATAGAGCTGTGGGTTTTGTTCCTTTTTTTATTGAACCATGTTTGATACTACTTTCTCTGACGATAAAACAGTAATTACCACTTATTTCTCTTTATCCTTTTATCCTACCATGACAGTTTTATTTCCCTTCATCTAATTAGTGGCTCACTCATCTATTGCAGAATAGTTGCTTTGTGATTAGTTAAGCATTATTTCAAGGTGTTCTTGCCTACCCCACTTTCAAGATATTTATTGTACGCCAAACAGATTTCTTCATTTGAAGTTTAAAGTGATTAAAAAGAACATTTGGCATATATATAATAATTAGACATTTTACAATGTGATTTAGAACTGAGATGCCAAAAATAAAGACATGAACATTTCTGGAAAAATCATGAAGTGCTCTAAGCTTGGGCTAAAAGTCAAATATGTATGCCATCATGTGGTTGCAAATAGATAAAAATTAATCAGAAGAAAGAGCTCTTGTTTTTGTTTTGTCTTGTTTTTTCAAAAAGGGTATGTGATAGGCCACTTGCTGAATAGTTTTCTAGTGGGGTTATGAGGTAACCAAGGGAGTTTGTTGCTTCTCTGCAACCTGGGTATCCGTGGGAGCTTTCTCTTAAGTCCAGGGCCACTGCTTTTCCCTGGCACCCCCTCCTGCTGGGGTGTGGACTTCTCTTAAGCTCCTTTGGCATATGTTTCTATTTTGATTAGTAGAGATAGACAAACCAATATTTTTAAATTCTAGCACAATTATCACTTACGCTAGAAAATGGAACAATTGTTCTACTTTTCTTAAAACATGCTAAATTATATATTTGTACATTGATTTTATATCATATGCCTCTTGAGTTACAGTGAAAACAAACACTTTCTCATTCTCTTAGTAGTCTGTTTAGTAGGAAAAGGCAAGCTATGATAGAATCCTTTTCAAATATTCTGGAAAGTTCTAATGTTTAGGGCAATGTGGCTGGGCAAAGTTTTGATGAATGCTGAAAGTTTTTAGGTGCAGTGGGTGGGCAGGATGTGGGGAAGGGTAGTGGGCAAGCAGGTGGATTGAAATAGGCTTCTCAAACACTGACGCTTCTTATTAATGCCAGTGGAAGCACAACTTACGGTGGAAGGATTATTTTAAATCAGTTGTGAATAACTATACTCACAAGTTTATTTTTTAACTTGTGGTTTTAAGCTGTCTATGCTCATGAGGCAATATTTATTCAAGAACTATGGAAGGCTATAGAATGAAATAACAACTCTTAGTTATATATATATTTTTTACTTGCAAATTTGTGCTAAAGACTTTTTAATTCCTGGTGAGGTAATAATGTAAAGACACTAGTAGGGCTTTAACTTAGTGTCACATCAGATAAATGGCCTACTTACAACCGTGAAGCGTTGATAAATTTCCAATCTCAGTAGAATAATATGGCAGTATGCCTCTTTTTTTTTTTTTTGAAAGAGATAAGATGGGGCTCATAATGGATATTTACACTTTGCAAGGCACTTTAGTTTCATATTTTCCACCTCATCATCACCCCCATGTTTATTAAGTGCCTGCTGTGCAAGATATCATAAATCAGTAGGCACGTAGTTTGTTCCTGAAATTTATAACATCATTCAAAGATACATTCTACTTCTAAAAAAGTTCAGATTTGGATGGCAGATGGAAGGGCATTTCTGCATTGCCCTGGCCTGAAGGGTTGTCAGACAAGAGTCAGATGGCATTACATGTCTTCTGTATCCCCAAGAGGTGTCATTTAAAAACTGACTCATGGTGTTTCATACAAATTGGAACAGGTCAGACTTCTATGGCTGCTTTTAACCAGGTTGTCTGAGGTCAGCTCCCAATACAGGTGAAGAAATTAAAGTAGAGGAACTTCACTTTGCTGTCCGCCCCCCCCTCGCCCCATACACCTTTTGTTAAATCTCATGACCTTTAAAATGTGATTTTTAGATGTATCATTAATTTTTTTTCATTTTCAAGCAAGAGTATATCTAATGTCTCCCAATTTGAAAAATGAATAGAGTACCCTATTAATAATTTTAACAGCAACTGTTATTTATTAGTTTATTACCTACTTTAAACATAGCTTCTCTAGTACTCCCAGCTGCTTTCTAAGAAGGATCTAATTAGCTTCACTTTAGCTCTCAGAACCCAAGTCAGATGCGTTAAATGACCTGCCCAAGGGTACACAGCTAACAAATGGCAGAACTGAAATCCAAACCTGGTCAGACTGATTCTTAACTTGTGTGCTTTTTTCTGCATCAGGCTAGTTTATTTTTGCTTTATTTTGCTGAACCTTCTTCATGATTTTTATTTACTTTTTCTGCACACTGCTTTAGTACTTTGATCTTTTTTTCAGAAAACCAGCTTTCAACCAACCTGGGTTTGCCAGGAGCCATAGGCACACAGACACATGCCTGCATCAACATTAAACATGCCTGCATATGCATTATTTATCCTTTTTGTATTGGACCAGATGGCTCCTAACTTCAGATATTTTTGACAAAGTGAAGGCAAATGTGACCTTCCAATTAAAGCATAAACTCTGTGAAATTCAGAACCCTAGCGGGAGAAGGAATGAAAATGATCTCTTAATAGGAATCATTGGGTGTTTTAGCAGAGGGTGGATGACAACAGGAGACAGGCTGAGGAGGGGGTGATTGCTGTGTGCAAAATCGGCACCCTATCACGGTGGCCTCTTTATTCTCAAAGTGGATACATGTTGAGTGAAAAGGTTTAAATTGTGCAGGGAAACTAGCTGCAGGAGTTCAACATGGTTCCCAGAAAAGTAACTGAAGCAAGTGTCCGGTGGTGCTTGAGCCACTTCCCACTCACACGAGAAAGACTGAATGAAAGACAAGAGTTCTGACTGTTCTTTGGCCATTCTTGCTTTACCATTCTTTTTGCCAAGTACTTGTTGAGGGCATGTTTTGTGACAGAAACTACCAGGTATTGAACATAGAGCAGTTAATAAAAGAAAGTCCTTATCCTCAGGGAACCTATATCCAAGAGGAAAGAAATAGACACTAAGCTGATGGATATGATATGTCAGGTAACTGTAAGTGGGAAAGAGAAAATAAAACAGTTTGAGGGGAATGGGGAATTCGGGGTGGGCAGTGAAGTTGTTTATGACCTGAAATCAGAAGTATGAGGTTGTATCTCACTGTGGTCTTGTTTGCATTTTTCCAATAAGTGACTATACACATTTTTTCACGTGCCTGTTGGCCACTTGAATTTCTTCTTTGAGATGTGTCTGTTTAAACTTTTCACTCATTTTCTGATTGGATGGTTTAGTTTTTGTGCACGTTTTTATCTTTTTTTATTAGTCCTTTGTCAGACATACTTTTGACTGACCCATGTATACTGGGGCTGGTACTCACCTCAGTGCTCCATTTCTTTCAACATCATGCTTTCAAACTTTAACAAGTGAGAGTCACATTTCCATATCACTTCAATAGGCATATCACTTCTAACCACTTCTAAATATTGTCTGTTTAAAACACCTTTGTTTTATAATTTTATCTGACCTGGTGCTGTGTATAGCAGTCATGCAGTACTGGAATGGCTGATGAACAAATGAATGAATGAAGAAATGTGAAAAGTCATGTAATATTTTAATCTTAGGTCATGAAAACTTGCTCACCAAAAAAGGAAAATAACAAGCACAACAAATCTCAGAAAAAATGCTGTTGATGAAGGAGACATATATTTTGTAAGGGCAATCAGTAATTTGAAAATACTGAGTATAGGTTATACTTAGAATCTTGAATAGGTAATTATGGGTTTTATTTATCTGATAAAATGAAAAAAAAAAGGTTTGGTTTTTTTTTCTGATTTTCTGAATCCAGTTAGCAATCTTTGCATATCAAAGATGAATATAGACTTGTCTTATAAATATAGTCTAATTCGATAATAAAATTGCTAAATGCTTCAACTTTGATATATTTCTTTGTTTTATTTCTCAACATATGAAATGTGAATGTTGATGTCATGCAATATTTCTATTACCTCCAGGAGGTAATTTATGTCAGCAGTTATCAGATTAGGACGCAAAAACTTGTTCTGTACAATGCCATTCTTTTGCTTAATTGCAGGTTCTTGTGCTCAAATTGCATCCTGTAGCCTACCTGACAGGAATGTGTAAGCACAAATGTACTTGCATGTGTTTTTCTGGGAATACAAAGTTTATAGATTAAATATTTCAAACCTCCAGTCAGCTTTGCCAGGAAAGGTCTGAATTGTGAAGTATGGGCAGTAAACAGCACCCCAGGTGACTTGGAAACAGTCTGACTCGTAATTGTCCATGCTTAAATACTGAAACATCCATTAACTTATTACATCCATTTCATTTCAATTGCTTCAAGAAAGATTTGTTTAAATTAGCACTTGTATTGGAAGTTGCAGTTTAATGCTTGAATGAAGTAGGTCTGCTTGTAAAAATATTTTTATAGTTAACTGGGCTTTCAAAATAACATGCTTTTAAACTTTTTATATTATACTTTATAGGCATTTTGTAAATGTTTATAGAATATGTCTATATGTGTGAATTGAGCCATGTTTATTATAAGTAGGAGAGACTAGGAGATCCTGGATCTGGACATGCTTCCACTACTACCTCTGATCTTGGACAAGTGTTATTGTCCTTGACCTCATTTTCTAATATCAGAAAGAAGGAAGGCTTTCCAGTGATCTACAAG